ACTTAATTGGGCCATTGGATGCCCAGCTATCTGGTTAAACATTATATCTGGGTGTGTCTGTGAGGGTCTTTCTGGAAAAAAAAAATTAGTATTTGAATTGGTAGACTGAATAAAGCAGATGGCTCTCCCCAGTGTGGATGGGTATCATCTAATCCATTGAGGGCCCAAATAGAAGAAAATGGTGAAGAAAGATTGAATTCACTCTGGGTGACTTCTTGAGCTGGTACATCAATCCTCTCCTGCCCTTGGTGCTCCTAGTTCTCAGGCCTTCAGACTAAGACTGGAATCTATATATCATCTGCTCTCTGGCTCTCAGGCCTTTGAACAACACCCAGCTTTCCTGGGTCTTCAGCTTGCAGAATGCAGATGGAACTTCTCAGCCTCCATGATTGCATAAGCCAGTACCTTATAATAAATCTCTCTTTCTCTCTGTACATATATGTAATACACACACACACACACACACAGACACACACACACACACTCACACACACTATTGGCTGTCTTTCTCTGGAGAGCCTTGACTAATACAGGGAAGAACAGGGATTCCTGACTGCAGTCTACTCTCAGTTCCAGATTGGTGAGGAAGCCTGTCTGTAATCCTGCCTTTGGCAAGATGATAGCCTTGTTGTTACCATTCAGCAATTTGGAAGAAGAGAAATAAAGACAGGGTTAAAATGAAAAGAGGAGAGAAGAAATAGAAATGAAAAAGAAAATGCAAAGGGAAATTGAGAAAAACCAAATTGAAATGACAGACAGAAGGTAGCAAATCATCTGGAAAAAAATGATGAATTCTGTGATCTAGGAGTGAAACATTTGGCTGTCTTGCCCTGACTCTGCCTTCCTGAGGCAAACCAGCCTTTTCCTCTTCCTTTCATCTCACCCTATTTGCTTGCAGGATCAGATGGGAGGATCCATGAGGGGAGCCCTCTACCTCCTAGCATCCTAGCCCTAGCACTCTAGCCTTCCATTACGTTTTCTGAGTCCAGCCCACCATGGTTACAGCAGGTGGCTCAGCTCCCAGGGACAGCTTTAGCTGCCTAGACCTTAGTGAATCTGGAGAGCATGAGCTAGTGGAAGTAGCATGAACCTTGGTTTGTAAAAATGTTTAAATTATTTTTTTAAAAGCTAGTCAAGTGAAGCAGTGGGAATGGAGAAGGAACAATAACTGGTTGTGACCAATTAGTTATAAACAACACTAGCATGGACTTTGACTTCAGGCAAATTGAGGAAGATCATAAGATGATTAGATAGGTAGATCGAGGGATAATAGAAATAGGTGCAGTGGCTCACACCTGGAATCCCAGCACTTTGGAAGGCTGAGGCAGGCGGATTTGAGTTTGAGACCAGCCTGGCCAACATGGTGAAATCCCATCTCTACTAAAAATACATAAATTAGCTGGGCATGGTAGCTGGTGCCTATAATCCCAGCTACTCCGGAGGCTGAGACAGAAGAATCACTTGAACCCAGGAGGCAGAGGTTGCAGTAAGCCGAGATCACACCACTGCCCTCCAGCCTGGGTGACAGAGCGAGACTCCAAAAAAAAAGAATAAAAATAAAGAAAAGAAAAAAAGAAAACTCTCTAAAAAGGAGAGGGAACAGAGTTAGGAGCACGCTGATTTGCTTTAACATAGTGGGAAATTGGGGATATATATCAATGTACATCCTGTGTGTCAATTTCCCTTTAATTTATTCTACTATTCAAATACCACTCAAATGTTACAAATCAACATTCTTTTGTCTTTGAACCTTGTGAGATAGAGTCATTGTATAAATACTTAATTTTAACAAAAGAGGCACTTTCTCTTTAAATTCTATTTACCAGTGTGTTTTTTAGTTGTTTAACACCAGCGACCTTCCTCCCTCCACACTTCTCTCTTCCCTTCCAGGAAAGCTTGTCTCTTAGGAACCTGTCATGGGACTGTATTTAGATTCCATAAAGGTATGAGGATCTCTACACTGGTACTGATTGATTGATTTTTGAGACTGGGTCTCACTCAGGCTGGAGTACAGTGGCATGATCATGCGTCACTGCAGCTTTGACCTCTCTGGTTCAAGGGATCCTCCTGCCTCAGCCTCCCGAGTACCTGGAACCACAAACACATGCCACCGTGCCCAGTTAATTTTTTATCTTTTGTAGAGATGAGGTCTCTCTATTTGCCCAGGCTGATCTCGAACTCCTAGGCTCAAGTGATCCTCTCACCTCACCCTCTCAAAGTGCTGGGATTATAGGCATGAGTCACTGCACCTGCCTGGTACTCATTGATTAAGTGTCCTTTTCAGAGATCTTTGTCCTGATTTATCTTCTTTCCTTTCATCCCTACCTCCCATCCTTATTAGTTCTCTGCCTGCAGCCAGGAGTCTTTCTAAAAACAACAATAACAAAAATAATTGATTTCATTATGATGTTGCCGATCACACTTCAGTGCCTCCCCATCATTTGTAGAATAAAGTGTAATTTTTTAATTAATGTTTTTTAGAGGCAGGGTCTTGCTCTGTCACCCAGGCTGAAGTAAAGGGTGTGATCTTAGCTCACTGCAGCCTTGACCTCCAGGGCTCAAGAGATCCTCCTGCCTCATCCCCCTGAGTAGCTAGGACTACAGGCTCATGCCACCACACCTGGCTAATTTTTCAATTTTTTTTTTTTTGGTAGAGATAGGGTCTCTCTATGTTGTCCAGGCTGTTTTTGAACTCCTGACCTCAAGCAATCCCCCCACCTCAGTCTCCTAAAGTGGCCTCCATAGCTCGTGGTGTGAAACAGTGTGCCTGGCCTAAAGTATAATTTTTATTTTTATTGTTTGATTTTTAAAAAATATTTAAAAAATTTTAGTAGCTTTTGGGCTACCAGGGATTATTTTTACATAGATGAATTGTATAGTGGTGAAGTCTGAGATTGTAGTGCACCTGTCACCTGAGTAGTGTACATTGTTACCAATAGGCAATTTTTTATTCCTGACCCTCCTCCCACACTCCCCTGTTCTGGGTTTCCAATATCCGTGATACCCCTTTATGTGCCTTTGTGTATCTATAGCTTAGCTCCCATTTTTAAGTGAGAACACATGGTATTTGGTTTTCCATTTCTGAGTTACTTCACTTAGAGTAATGGCCTCTAGCTCCATCCAAGTTCCTGCAAAAAACATTATTTCCTTACTCATTTTTTTATGACTGAGTAGTAGTCGTAGTAGTCTTTGGTGTATATGTACCACATTTTCTTTACTCTGAAGTGCAATTTTTAACACATGGTGTAGGCTGGGCATGGTGGCTCACACGTGTAATCTCAGTCGACACTTTGGGAGGCCGAGGTTGGCAGATCACGAGATCAAGAGATCGAGACCATACTGGCCAACATGGTGAAGCCCCATCTCTACTAAAAAATATAAAAAGTGGCGCTTGGTGGCGCGTGCCTGTGGTCCCAGCTACTTGGGAGGCTGAGGCAGGAGAGTTGATTGAACCCAGGAGGTGGAGATTGCAGTGAGCAGAGATCACGCCACTGCACTCCAGCCTGGTGACAGAGCAAGACTCTGTCTCAAAAAAAAAAAAAAAAAAAAAGAAAACCAATAAACAAAAACCAAAACATGGCCTAGATTGCTCTACAGGATATGACTTCTGTTCATCTCTCTAGCCTTGTCTCTACATTGTTCATTCCAGTTTCCCTGACTCCCACCCCAAAGAAAAGATCCTCCAGCCACAGTGAATGGCCATGTTCCTTCCTACCTTTGGCTTTCTCTCCATGTTGGTGATTCTACTGGAAAACTCTTCTAATTTCCTGTTCTGAGCCAAATTATCCTCACTCTTCAGGTCTCACCTATACTGCCCCGGATGTGTCGTCCTCCTTCAGAGCATCTACTTTTAACAGCCTATTTTCTTGTCTACACCCTCCCTCCCAATCGGCTTGATGAGAGCAGGAATGTTTTCTTTCTGATAGCTCTTCCATCCTCAGCACCCAGTAATTATTGAATGCTTGCTAGTGTGAGACTAGCAAGCATTTATTGTGGCAGAAGAAATAAGAATGCCAGGCCAGGCACAGTGGCTCATGCCCAGTGCTTCGGGAGGGCAAGGTGGGAGGATCATTTGAGCCCAGGAGTTTAAGACCAGCATGGCCGACATGGCAAAACCCCCTTTTTACAAAAAATACAAAAATTCGCTGGACGTGGTTGTGCGTGCCTATAGTCCCAGCTACTCTGAGGCTGAGGCAGGGAGATTGCTTGAGCCGAGAGGTTGAGACTGCAGTGAGCCATGATAGCACCACTGCACTCCAGCCTGGGTGCCAGAGTGAGGCCTTGTCTCAAAGAAAAAAAGAATGCCGTGTAGTCTTTGGCTGACCTTCCTCCTCCACCCCCTAACCTCTTCTTACATCAGCTAAGCTGGTTCTATCAGTTGTAGTAACTTGACTGGTGAGTTTACCTTCCGATATCCACCTTCTGTCTAATAGAGAAAGCTGACAGTTTTTAGTAAGTGCCCAGTTTTCAGCCTTCAGATGAGAAACTTATTTGATAAATTTAGAAAAAGACACTGTATTAATATGGTGTCTCTTTAATAGATATTTGCATTTTCAAGGGCCCTGTTATAAACTGGTTGAGAAGTTGATTCCCAGCAGCTTTTATAATATGATCATGAATAGTGCTTTACTGCCTTTAACATATTCCATAAATATATATTATTAATATATTGATAGATGAATGAATGAATAAGTGAAGTGCCATTTAACAGTTCAACTTCCAGATTCCCAGAAGGAGTTATGTAACTCTCAGGCTCCTAGGAGTTAGTGATACCATCATGTTTCTTTGTTATTTTTAAATTACTTTTTATTTTTTATATTATTTTATTTTACAGTTTTAATTTTTATTATTAGCTTTAAATTTTTTTCTATTTATTCTTTTATAATTTATTTACATTATGCCCTCAAACATCCTCCTATCCAAGATACTGTCCTGTTCCAAGGATCCCTTCCCATCATTATTTTTCTCTATATTATTCGGCAAACTCTGCACGTTGCTGGTTTTCTCCATTAGAACTCTCTTCTTTGAACACATCCACCTGCTTCTCCCCAGAACCTGAGGCTCAGAACTGAGTCCTAAGTGAGAACAGAGGTTCCGGGCATGCTCGGTAACCAAAGCCAGGGTGTAATTAACTGCTCCTGCCCTGACGCAGGGCCCTTACAGGTGGCAGGTAGCAGCGCTTCTGGGCAGAGACTTGCCCTGTCTTGTACAGCTGAACATCTGCTTTCTGAGGCCAATCTGACATCCTTATAACCCAAGTTTATAAAGTGGGGATGTCCGCAGTTTCCAAACAATAAAACGGAGGGAATTATTTCGGAAAAATTAAAATGCCTGGCAGGAGATTGTCAGAGTTCCACCTATACACGTATATCAAGTTTTAAATAACGCTGTGGTTAAGACAAAAAAGAGGACGGAGCCAGGGGTTGAGTATAAATGGTGCCCTACTTTGAACCTCATTGGGTAGATCAAAGATTTTAAAAGGGTTTTCTGAAGTTGCCCAGCGCCTAGAATTTCAAGGACCGTATCCGCAGCCTCTTTCCTAAAGAGGGTGCGTTTCTGGGGGAGGTGAGTGCGCGCGCGCCAGGGGAGGGCCGGCCGCGGAGAGGGGCCAAGGCTCTCCCGAATCAGCAGTCAGGGAGAGGCTCTGCGGGCGCCCACGGGGCAGAGGGGAGCGGGTCCGAGGGCCGGAGAAGGGGTCCGAGACGCGCAGAGGGGCTGTTAGCTAGGCGACCTGAATGCCTTTGATACCTGAAGCCGCAGCCTGCAGACGCTGATAGCGGATCCCGAGCGCACGCGGCCCTGAGCCTCCGGGGTTCTCCCCGCTGCTTACTCGGACCTCGGGCACAAGGTAAGGAGGGGCGCGGGGTGCAGCGCTCGCCCTGGACCTGCCAGGAGCCTCTGCTTGAGGGGCCAGTTCGGCCTCCCCGGGCTGTCACCGCCTTGCCTCCTTCTCCGCCCCGGAGGGTGGCCCACGGCGGGTGGCCCACGGGGGCTCAGACCCTCGGCCATCAGCGTTTCCACTCCGCGGTCCGCTGGACCCACGCTCCACTCACGACTTTCTCCGCTGCCCCCGGGAAGCTCCCGAAACCCGCGCCCCCGGGGCTGGGGTCAGGGCTGGCAGGAGTAATCCACCCCCTCCAGGTGTGTGGCGCAAACACGGACGCACAGATTTTCCCTAGGGTCTGTAACAATTTCCAGGCTGAAAGGTTGTAACTCCTTCTCCTTCCAGAACTTGCCTTCCTCCCGCCTCCCTCCCTCCCTTTACTATCCTAACTTTGGGAGGAATATTGACTCTTGTCAAAGTTAATGCACTGTCTTACCTTCCGTATTGGCACCGGCTGAGGTTTTTCTTCTCCTCACCTTAAATATTGTGACAAGTGTACAAGGTTTTCAGGGTGACGGCGGTGCCAGAATTTTACAACAGCTTAAAGCAATAGCTCTTAGGCGGTGGGGAAAAAAGCTGGGCCCCACCCTGAAATCCCGATTCAGAAATCTGGTATGTGTGTGTGAGTGTGCGTGCATGCATACGTGTATGTGTGTTTGCCGGCTTGAGTATATTTTAAAAGCACCTCAGATGATTGTGATGTCCGCCCCCCACAACATACCCCCAAAGTATCTGTAAGGTCCGCAAAGAAGAGAGAGGGCCACCCATTGTGGCTAAGCATCACCTGGAACTGTTAATGTGAATTGAGAATAAAAGCAGAGTTAAAGGGGTGAAAGCCTGTTCCCCTCAAGATGATGAATGTGATTGATGCAGTATCACTGGATCTGAGACGGCAATTTTTTGTTTTATTTTGTTTCTGTTTTTTTTCTCTTTTTAACTTAATTTTATTCTATGATTGTTAGTATTTTTGTCTTGTTTCTGGTTTTTGAGACGGAGTCTTGCTTTGTTGCCCAGGCTGGAGTGCAGTGGCAAGATCTCGACCCACTGCAACCTCCACCTCTCAGGTTCAAGTGATTTTCCTGCCTCAGCCTCCCAAGTAGCTGGGAATATAGGCACATGCCACCATGCTGGCTATTTTTTGTACTTTTAGTAGAGATGGGGTTTCACCAGGTTGGCCAGGCTGGTCTCGAGCTCCTGACCTCAAGTGATCCACCCGCCTTGGCCTCCCAACGTGCTGAGATTACCAGAGTGAACCACTGGGCCCGGCCCAAGATGACAGTTTTGGAAAGAGAGAGTTAACATTAATTTGAAACTCGGATGTAACATTGGAAAAATGCATACTTCTAAGAGACCTGGTTAAACAGCTTTTAAATATCAATTTTTCAAGTATAAGAATTCCTTCACAAGTGCTCTACAGATTAGAAAGGGCTGAGGCCCATTCTCCAGAGAATCAGAAAATCTTCCTTCACTGCTGTCTTGACTTTTTGTCAATGATGGCAGCCCGTTGACATTTTTACATTTTTCTTACTTTAAGGCCAAAGACTCAAATGGACTATTACCTCTAGGAACTAGAGTCAACAGTGATGGTATCAATTAATTTAGAACCTGTTTTCACTCCTAATTATTTGAACCAAGTTCTTCTATCCTGAATTGATTAAGAAAGTCTGTAAATTATATCATATTTACAGAAATGCTACCTGTTTCTCCATCTTGAATTTTGTCATAGATGCATGTCTGTGCTTTTCATATATTCATGTAAGTACCGGAACCATTCTAAGGACCTATCAAACGATCAGAAAGTAATTACCAAGAAAAATAAATTTATTTTCTGTCTTTTGGAAAATTGAGACGAAGGACTAATTTTTTTTAAGTACCATAAAGTAGATATAATATTAAAGCTTACATTTCTTTTTATGAAACCAGATGCCTTTTATGAAATAGGGATGATATTCCGTGCCCGCTTTCAAGGATGCTAAGGACAAGCAAGAGACTGTCTGTAAAGCATTTTGAACTTTTAAGAAAAGAATCACTGTCTAGATATTGAGCCAATGTGATTGTTTTCCTGGCAAACTTTTTCTCCTTTCTAAAATTAACTTTCCCCCAGGAAAAGTAGTGCAGATGCACATGATTCAGTCAACCAAGTTCAGAAAATACTGTCTGAATTTTAAAAGTGACCTTAATTCATCCCTATAGATCTAATGTTTGCAATCTATGCTGCAAAATATGCAGAAATATTCATTCCTTGCTGACCTTTGCAAAGTGTTAGCTTAATAAGGGTAGCTATGGACAGAGCACAATATAAAATTGATTGGCTTAGGTAAAACTATTATCATTTTCCTAAGGTTTTTGTGTACATGTGTGTACACTGGTTCTACAACTTCCATATATATATATGTCACATATGTTTTTAATAGGAACAAAAAACCCACAATATTTTTCCCTGTGGCAGAACACTGTAAGCATTAGGTTTTGATTACTTTTTCATGGAAATTTTAATATGACAGAACTAAGAGCGCCAAGAGAATAATTCCGTAAAGATCTATTTGGAACTAGAAGTACTTTAAAAAAAAAAATGTTTGAAGCCCAAAGTTGGTTTGCTTAGCTTCCATAGAACAGCCCTTTGTGAGTGAGTAAGTGTGGTAGATCCAGTTCTGGCAACCTCAGACGAAGGACAATTAGACCCTGCCACTCTTCTCCAGACCTTTCATTTGGTCTGTAACTTGATGCTTCACTGACCCTACACTCTCCCTGCCACGCTAACTCACAGAGGAATTGTTGGCACTCTGAATTGAAACTTTTCCCCCCTCCCATCAATTAGAACATGTTTGCATAGGTTGCAGAGGCAATTACATTTTTAGCTCAGTATTCTAAGAAATACCTTCGGCCGCAAAGAGCAGCCTACACTACAGACTGCCTTATTTTGTGGAGCTATGATAACTTACCAATGATTCAACTATGTAGAAATAATAGAGTTATAGAATATTAAAATGAGAAGGCACTTTAAAAGTCATCTAGATTTTAATCATTTCTCTTTACAGATGAATATTGAAGAGTTCATAACGGTAGTCTAAACTGAGAATAGACATTACGTTTTATATTCTTTCCAATTCTTGTAGTAATGAGAATTTTGTTCATTTGAAATGAATTTATATATGAGTTTAATAATGTAGCAGTGACAGCAAAGTGCTTCCAAATCTTAGCTAGATTTTCAACCAAACTCAAAAGTGTGGCATTAGGCTGAGAGCAGTGGTTTACGACTGTTATCTCAGCGCTTTGGGAGGCTGAAGCAGGAGAATTGCTTGAGGCGGGGAGCTGGAGACCAGCCTGGGCAAGATGGCAAGACCTGTATCTACAATTCATTATGTATCATTATTAACTAGAGTCATCCTACAGTGATACAGAGCACTAGAACTTAGTCCTCTTTCCTAGCTGTAATTCTGTATCCTTCAGCAAATCTATCTCACCCTTTCCCCTACCTCTAGTATCTTCTGTCTACTTTTCATGAATCAGTGTATTTTCTAGTTCAATGATGATTTTTGACTTTTTTTAACACTTTTGCCCACATTTGCCAAGTTTATTTAGACTTGATTCTATTTAAGTTGTTTCATTGATATACTAGTTAATAATAGCACAGTTCCTCCATCCTTAAGTTCATATCATAACTAATTTAAGTATATATTCAAGTAACTTTTTAAGGAGGTCACAATTAGTTGAGCATGCCCTCACAAAATGTTTTTCAGGGGTCACTGTATCGATAAGAATGTTTTTCTGCTTTTCTTTTTCTTTTTCTTTTTTTTTTTTGAGACGGAGTCTTGCTATGTTGCCAGGCTGAAATGCAGTGGCGCGGTCTCGACTCATTGCAACTTCCGCCTCCTGGGTTCAAGCAATTCTCCTGTCTCAGCCTCCCGTGTAGCTGGGACTACAGGCGTGCGCCACCACGCCCAGCTATTTTTTGTATTTTTTAGTAGAGACGGGGTTTCACCATGTTGACCAGGATGGTCTCGATCTCTTGACTTTGTGATCCACCTGCCTCAGCCTCCCAAAGTGTTGGGATTACAGGCGTGACCTACCGCGCCTGGCCTCTTGCTTTCTATAAGATGCTTGTGTCACGTCTTTAGCCTAGTTCTCTAGGTCTTGCTCCACAGAATTTTAGCAATTAGGGTTGCAGAAGAGAAGTCTCACTGAGGCCTGTCTGATTACTGTTCCTTTGCAGCTAATCTTTTGTCTGCCTGGATGTTTATAACATCGTTTTCTTTCTTTTTTCGAGATGGAGTCTTGCTCTGTCGCCCAGGCTGGAGTGCAGTGGCACAATCTCGGCTCGCTGCCACCTCCGCCTTTTGAGTTCAAGTGATACTCCTGCCTCAGCCTCCCGAGTAGCTGGGAATACAGGCGTGCACCACCACGCCCAGCTAATTCTTGTATTTTCAGTAGAGACGGGTTTCACCATGTTGGCCAAGAGATCATGAGATCTCTTGACCTCATGATCCACCTGCCTCGGCCTCCCAAAATGCTGGGATTGCAGGCGTGAGCCACCACACCCAGCTTCTTTCTTAAGAAAAAAAGAAAAGACACTAAGAGAAATTGTTTAAAACCAGACCACATTGCAGGGATAATCTGTTCTATTAATTTTTCGTGATACTCTTTGAATAATTTACCTTTGAAAGCTTCCTTTCTTCCCTTCCTTTTCTTCCCTTCCTTCCCTCCCTTTCCTTTCCTTTCTCCTTCCTTGCTTCCTTTCTCTTTCTTTCTTTTTTCTTTCTTCTTTCTTTCTCTCTTTCTCTCTCTCTTTCATTCCTTCCTTCTTTCTTTCCTTCCTTCCTTCCCTCCCTCCTTCCTTCCCTTCTTCCTTCCTTCCTTCTTTCTCTCTCGCTTTCTCACTTTCTCTCTTGCCCAGTCTAGATTGCTCTGAAGCGATCATGGCTCACTGCAGCCTCTAGCTTCTGACCTCAAGCAATCCTCCCACC